CTAAAGGAAATAACATCTTTGCTTTTAAATCTGATTGCAACGGTTGCAGCTGGTAATTTTCAAATTTTGACAAAACAAAATGAACTGCAGCTCCCTCTGGTGGTTGCATAGGGATAGGGCAGGGTAGCATTGAACAAACCCTGAATCTAAGGAGCACAGGGGCTGGCCTCCTGCTGGACAAAGTGAGAGCGAAACATGACTTAGTACACATTCCTTTTCCCTGTGTGTTTATCAAATTAAATTCAGTTTACCCCACAATATGGGCCTCCCATATGTTTCTGGCACTTTTTTTATGTTGCTTGCAGATGCAGGAGGGTCTAAGGACAGTGATAATACAGGACATATGTTCACATGTATTCACAGATATGTACATTGGTCATCTCGCTCCCTATGGACCAATGGTTGTCTGTGTTTGTTATTATTATATTTGTGTTCTGTTTGATCTTGTTACTGGGGAATCAACTTTGTAAAGTCTTCTGAGACGACTGCTGTTGTGATTTAAGGCTACACACAAATAAATTGAGCTCAATTTAAATCAAAAATTTAAATTAAATCATTTTGTGTTCCTTTAAAACAGATGCTTAACTCGCTCTTAAAACACACGCTTTAAAAATGTCCCCCCTGCTGATGTCATGATAAGATAATCTTTCATGCAATATTTCTGCTGGGTCTAATTGCCAAACATCAATGAATACATTTTTTTAAATTGCATGAGTCTAATTTTCTCATCATGCAGCTACAAAATATCCATGCAAACATGTCAATAGATTTAATTCTAATGCAATCTTAGTCTTGAGTCTGTCTCGGCCATTATTCAGACAACCTTCTATACTTCAGACACTAAATATGCATAACTAATAAACAGGAAGCCTGACTTTAGCCATCTTTGGGATACGCAGCCACTCGCATCATCTGATGCGAGTGGCTGCGTTTACCTCGGTTGCCGGTATCCAACCATTCAGTGTGCGGAGAGGTGGGTGGGTGTCGGTGACGTCAAGAGTTTGCGCCGAATTAGCTGGTTGTAGTTTGGCAATTGCGGCGAATGCGATAGTAAAGTATTCCATTCTGGTCCGGCTCCAAATATCAAGAAATTGAAGCCGGAGTAAGAGGAATGTTTAGCAAATGTCATAGCTGGCAAAAATGTTGTGGCTCTACTCCCCTCGGGCTCTGTTACTGGCAAAGGAGATGGCTAAAGCTAGGCAAAAACCTAAATGCGCATTATATAAAATTCAAGCATTTCAATCTGCAAAAGGAGTTAACCCCTCCCACCTGTTACAGAGCTCCATGGAGCAGATTAGCACCTTCTTACTCATGTAATGAGAATGATGGTATGGTAACACTAGGCTAATATACAGGTGAAAATGATCATATTGTTCAAAAGTTCATCTGTTTCTGTAATTCAACTTAAATTGTGAAACCAATATATGCTATAAACTCTTTTTATGTCCCATATTCCTTTGTTTGTATATTGTTGATAATTATGGCTTAAGATAAGATATTCCTTTATTCGTCCCACAGTGGGGAATTTCCAGTGTCATCGTTGCGCACATTACAGCAGAGAAAGAAGGAAATAAGAGCAGTCAGATTGCAGACATCAAACAGTCCATTATTTAAAATATGAAAATAATAAGATGGTAAAATAGAGTAAAATATTATAAACTCTGGAGCTATAATTGCACTTGGTTCAGAAGAATTTACAGATGTTTATATTGTACTTTAGCAGCGAATATGAGCAGAATAAACAATAGTAACAATATCAGCAGGTAAAGTGAATATTGAATGACAGAACCTCAGATGGATGGATATGTAATAATGCAGTAATAATATTAACCGGTAAAGTGACATGTGACTAAGTGATTAAGAGTCCAATCCCAAATATTCTACAGTATTTAGGTTTTATACAGCTGTGAGACACTGTAACATTGTAACATATGACGATATATCGCACTTTGTTTGTCATTAGTTGTATATTGTCAGTTGAATAACAGAAGTAAATGGGCTGGAGTTGCACCATAACCATATTTCTTCATGAGAATAAATACACAATGTAAGATGCACTACAGTTTCAGTTTATATTCAGTTTTCAGATATACAAAAAGGTACAGCGTCAAATCTGAACATCCTGAAAAGCATTAAATCATTGAACTGTGTGTGGTCAGTGTGTTCCCAGTGTGTGCCCAGTGTGTTCCCAGTGTGTGCCCAGTGTGTTCCCAGTGTGGTACCAGTGTGTGACCAGTGTGTTCCCAGTGTATGACCAGTGTGTGCCCAGTGTGGTACCAGTGTGTGACCAGTGTGTTCCCAGTGTGTGCCCAGTGTGTTCCCAGTGTGGTACCAGTGTGTTCCCAGTGTGTGACCAGTGTGTTCCCAGTGTGTGACCAGTGTGTGACCAGTGTGTTCCCGGTGTGTGACCAGTGTGTTCCCAGTGTATGCCCAGTGTGTTCCCAGTGTGGTGCCAGTGTGTGACCAGTGTGTTCCCAATGTGGTACCAGTGTGTGCCCAGTGTGTACCCAGTGTGTGCCCAGTGTGTGCCCAGTGAGTGACTAGTGCGGTACCAGTGTGTGACCAGTGTGTGGTCAGTGTGTGCCCAGTGTGTTCCCAGTGTGTGACCAGTGTGTGGTACCAGTGTGTGACAATTGTATGCCCAGTGTGGTAACAGTGTGTGCCCAGTGAGTGACTAGTGTAGTACCAGTGTGGTACCAGTGTGTGACCAGTGTGTGCCCAGTGTGTGACCAGTGTGTGCCCCGTGTGTGCCCAGTGAGTGACTAGTGTGGTACCAGTGTGTGACCAGTGTGTGCCTAGTGTGTGCCCAGTGAGTGACTAGTGTGGTACCAGTGTGTGCCCAGTGTGGTGTCAGGGTGTGAACAGTGTGTGCCCAGTGTGAGCCCAGTGTGTGACCAGTGTGTGCCTAGTGTGAGCCCAGTGTGTGACCAGTGTATGACCAGTGAGTGACTACTATGGTACCAGTGTTTGACCACTGTGTTCCCGGTGTGAGCCGGTGTGTTCCCAGTGTGCCGCAGTGTGGTTCTTACAGCACCAGCAGCACTAGCGTGACTTCTTCCTCTGGTGGTGAAATGTATCTAGGCCAAATAACAGAGCAGAGCCCACACATGTGTCCTGTCCTAACATGGTATTATCCTGCAGCCTGGCTTTCAAACAGCTCATTCTGCAGCAATTGCGGGGCTCCATCCTCTCCCAGTATTGACATTTCATTGTGAGAAATCTATTGTATTGGATTTGAATTTAATTTATGTTAAGCTTCTGTTATTCTTCACGGTTTAGTGCACTTACAGGATTGGTTCTGAGGTTCATTAACCCGGGACTGCGACGGGCTGTTGTTCTGACCAAGACGGCCGACAGTAACCATCTTGTATTAAAGCAACAAGTAGAACACTGTCTCATTCATTACCTCGAGCCAGGACGTTACACTGGTGTCAGAAGTAAAAAGCCAGAGTTCGTCTCCGAAGCCCGGTGATCGCTCCTAGCTTGTGTCGGGGTCTGCTCGTCCGCCCGTTTGATATGTCGATGCCATCGGGGAAGTCCGGTGCTCGCCCGAAAATCAAGAAGGAGGTGATGGACAGTGACTTTGAGACCCAGTCCCGGAGGCACGATATGGAACAAAGTCGACGTTCTGAGCACTCTGCTCATATAAGACGGGTAGCCGCGGAGATGGCAGCGGAGGCGGGTTTCAGCGGCGGGAGCGCCAGAGAACAAGCCCCGCCCGCCATGATTGACAGGTCACCAAATTCAGACGAAAATGGCGGCAGGGAACGACTGCAAGTTAAGACTCCGAAATATTCAGGGAAAGCAGACTGGGAGGCCTTCTATGCCCAATTTGAACTGTTGGCTGGGGCAGCTGGCTGGTCTGTAAAAGTAAAAGCACTCCAGCTGGCTCTGTGCCTTACTGATGATGCCCTGTCATGCTTATTGCTGTTAAGCCCAGCTGAGAGAGATGATTATGGGGCTTTGGTTGGGGCCCTCCGGAGGCGTTTTGGACAATGTAGCCAACCCGATGTCCTGCGCTCAGAGCTGGCTAGCCGACAGAGGTTGACAGGCGAGCCACTCAGGGGGTTGGCTAACGATATTGAGACCCTGACAAGACGAGCTTACGCCCATATGCCCCCTGAAGTACAGAGTGAGCTGGCCAGGGACCAGTTCATTCGTGCCCTGGCTCCCAGAGAACTTCGCGCACAGACACAGCTGGCACATCCTAGATCCCTGCAGGAGGCACTGGAGCTCGCCCTAGAGAGAGAGGCCGTAGGTTCAGCGTCTGAGAGTGGCCCCATTGTGAGGACAGCAGTGCGGGAGGACCCAGGTCAGGAGAGGCCTGCCTGGGTTGCTGAGCTGACAGAACTGATCCGAGCTGTGACGTTACAACCACAACGCGGCGGTGCCCGCCCGCGCCGTGGCCCTCCAGTGTGCTGGACGTGTGGCCAGGCAGGCCATATCAGTGTGCGGTGCCCCCAGAACTCGGGCGGTCAGGGAAACGCTCCGGGGTCTGTGTAAAAGGGACCACACAGGCCCCCGCCCCTGTGTCCCACCCTATCGTTTCACATGTGTACGGGGCCCAACGACGCAGTCGGGGGAGCGGGGCTCCACTCCCCCCAGAAGCAGATGACAGCGACATCGAATCTTCGAGGGTGGTGGGCTGGACGCACTTTGGGAATTTTTGTCATGTTCCTGTTACTTTGAACAGGGCCCCATGCACAGCCCTGGTTGACACGGGTTCCACCGCAACACTAATGAGACCCGACATGGTGCCACCTGGGACATTACTAGAACCTACTGTTGTAAAGTTGCGGACTGTGACTGGTGAACTCGCTCCTATGCTTGGTCGGGGATTAGTGACTATACAAGTGGGGGAAATGTCTGTGGATTTTAGGGTGTGGGTCGCTGCAGTGAAGGACCCCTGTATTTTGGGTCTTGACTTTTTGAGGGCCGCTCACTGTGTGCTCGATCTTGGCAGTAACACTGTGACATTTCCGGGAAGCCCCTCAGTTGAAATGGTGCCCCCTGAACATGTCCAAAGTCAAGCAGCGTCTAAAGCAGCAGAGGTGCACCAGAAATACGTGCCACTACCCCAGTTTTCTGCTCCAGTACCCACCAACCCGCAACATGCAATGGCAGCTCTACCTCCTGCACTGGAACAGTTACCTGCAGTGAGAGAAATGGACAGGGTCGTGGCCGTAAAAGAGATTTGGGAACGTAACTGCACCACTTTGGAAACCAGTCAGCGGGAAGCTTTATGGCAAGTGCTACTGCAGTACAAAGACATCTTTGCCCTTTCTGAAGAGGAGGTGGGTCTAACACACTTGGTGCAGCACGAAATAGATACTGGAGATGCGCACCCGATCAAAACGCGCCCCCGCCGACTCCCTCTGGCGCATCAAGCGGCTGCTGATAGCGCAATTGACGAAATGCTCGCGGCTGGTATTATCGAGCCGTCAGATAGTCCCTGGGCTTCGGGGGTTGTGATGGTTAACAAGAAAAATAATCAAAAAATGCGGTTTTGTGTGGACTATCGACCGCTGAATAGCATAACAAAGAAAGACTCATACCCGCTACCACGTATTGATGAGTCCTTGGACATGGTATCTGGCTCTTCCTGGTTCTCATCATTAGACCTGCGCAGTGGATACTGGCAGGTCCCCCTGAGCCCCGATGCAAGACCCAAGACCGCTTTTTGCACCGGCAGGGGATTGTGGCAGTTTAGGGTCCTCCCCTTCGGGCTATGCAATGCCCCGGCCACTTTTGAAAGGTTGATGGAAAAAGTGCTAGCTGCTGTCCCCCGTCAGGAATGTCTCGTTTACTTGGACGACATTCTGGTCCATGGCGGCTCTTTTGAGAGGGCTTTGGATTCTCTCCGGCAGGTGCTGCAAGGTATCGCGGAGGCCGGGCTGAAACTCCACCCCAACAAATGCTGCTTCATGAGAAGGGAATTGGAGTTTTTAGGGCACAAGGTTGGTGGAGAAGGCATCAGCACTCTGGAGGAAAAGGTACAGGTTGTCAGGGACTGGCCAATCCCCACTAACCTCAGAGAACTGAAGAGTTTCATTGGACTAGCATCATATTACAGGCGATTCGTGCGCGGTTTCTCTTGCATCGCCGCACCCCTGTTTGCCCTACAGCGGAAAAATTGTGACTTTGTGTGGACCCCAGAGTGCGACCGGGCCTTTTGCACTTTGAAAAAGGCACTGACGGAGTCTCCCATCTTAACCCCCCCAGATACCAATCTGCCATTTGTCATGGACACAGACGCCAGCGATGCGGGGATGGGTGCAGTGTTGAGCCAGGTGGGATCACACGGGGAGAAAGTAGTGGCATACTTTAGCAAAACTTTCAACAAGGCTGAGCGGCGTTATTGCGTGACGCGGAGAGAGTTGCTTGCTATTGTGAGAGCGATAGGGCATTTCCGGTACTATCTCTGTGGCCTCCCCTTTACTGTGAGAACAGATCACTCAGCACTCCAATGGTTAATGTCCTTTAAAGAACCAGAGGGGCAGATTGCCCGCTGGTTGGAAGAACTTGCGCCATATAATTTCAAAGTGGAGTACAGGGCTGGGAGTCGCCATGCCAACGCGGATGCCATGTCCAGACGTCCATGTGCTCTGGATGGCTGCCGCTATTGTGAAAAACGAGAGGCCAAGGAACAGGAGCTCTGTGTTGAGGAGCAGGCGGGTCCCTTGTGCAGCGGGGAAGGGCCAATCTGTGAAGTGGCGGAGCTCCATGATCCACTGGAGTGGAGGGCTCAGCAGGAACTGGATCCCGATCTGCAACCTGTGCTGCAGTGGGTTCAATCGGGACAGAGACCACAGTGGAGTGAGGTAGCTGGGTTTTCGCTGGCCACCAAAGGACTGTTTGAAAAGTTTACAACCCTCCGTATAAAAGACAGAGTACTTCAAAGAGCGTGGAAAGAGCCAGCTACAGGGGAGGAAAGGTGGCAAACTGTAGTCCCCAGAGCACTCAGAGACCCAGTTCTGAAGGCTTGTCACGGAACTCCTGGGGCGGGACACTTTGGAGTCTCAAAAACTCTCAGACGGCTCAGGCAAGGGTTTTACTGGGGCCAGCTCAGGAGGGATGTAGAGGACTTTTGTCGTCGTTGCGACCTGTGCGCTGCTTATAAGGGCCCTCCAGGTCAATCCCGTGCCGAGCTTCAGCAGTTGGCCGTGGGGGCCCCTATGGAAAGAGTGGCTGTGGACATAATGGGTCCGTTTCCCCGGTCAGACCAGGGGAATCGTTATGTACTCGCTGCCATGGACTATTTCACTAAATGGCCAGAGGCATTTGCCATCCCGGATCAGGAAGCGGTGACGGTGGCAGACACCCTGGTGGAGGGAATGTTTTCCAGGTTTGGGGCACCCGAAGTTATCCACAGCGACCAGGGGAGAAACTTTGAGTCTGCCGTTTTCTCTGCAATGTGTCAGCGTATGGGAGCGCAAAAGACACGTACTACCCCACTACACCCTCAGAGTGATGGGCTAGTCGAGCGTTTCAACAGAACACTCGCAAAACAACTGGCGATCATCACTGCAGAACACCAGCGGGATTGGGATATGCACCTCCCCCTTATCCTGCTTGCCTACAGGTCTTCGGTTCAGGAGTCCACAGCATGCACACCTGCTCTTCTCATGTTGGGGCGAGAGCTGCGGACACCCAGAGAAATGTGCTTTGGCAGACCCCCACACACTCCTGCTGTCCCACCAGGACCGGAATACGCTCGGAGGCTACAGGACCGGATGGAGACAGCTCATGCGTTTGCCCGTGACCAGCTGCAAAAGTCTGGGATCCGGCAGAAAAGAAACTACGACATGAGGGCCAAAGGAAGAGACTTTAACCCTGAGGACCTCGTGTGGGTGTTCAGCCCTAAGAGAAAAAAAGGGAGGTGCCCTAAGCTGGACTGTCACTGGGTGGGGCCCTGTAGGGTACTTGAGAAGCTTGGGGAGGTGGTGTATAGGGTGCAGCTCCCACCTAGGGGTAGACGGGTGGCCCTTCACAGAGATAGGTTAGCACCATACATGGGTGACGCACATCCCCAGTCACGCCCTGTATCCACTCAGAGAGACAAAACAGTCGGACCCCAGACATTGACTGTTTCCCCATCAACTGACACACAGATGCCCCCTGCTCCGAAGCATGTTGTTCCCAGGTTAGCAGTCACCCCAAAGAGACCCCGTAGGGAGATAAGGGCCCCCAGTCACCTTAGAGACTTTCTATGTGATCCCTCGGGGCGAGGGACTTAGTGGGGAGGGGGCAGTGTAGCGACCCTGCATTTATGTTATGTTAATGCTGTTATTTCATGTTATTCTTCACGGTTTAGTGCACTTACAGGATTGGTTCTGAGGATGGAGGGGCGGGCCTACTGGGGGGGTTAGAGAAGATTGTTTTGATAACGCGGTCTTTTTACCCGGGACTGCGAACGGGCTGTTGTTCTGCTAAGTTGTGGACTTGTATTGGCGTGGTTACGGCCGACAGTAACCATCTTGTATTAAAGCAACAAGTAGAACACTGTCTCATTCATTACCTCGAGCCAGGACGTTACAGTATGTATTTGGATATTCTTGTTTGGCAAGTTTTTTCAGATCAAAATGTGTAGTTTTGCTTGGATCGAACATAACTGGACCAAAGTTAAAAATGGCTGAGTGACTCACTGATTATTTTAATTTAATAATAATAATAATAATACATTGGATTTATGTAGCGCTTTTTTAAACACTCAAAGACACTTCACCTGTCATTTTTCTTTCACTCCATACATAGTAGTAATAAACTACTACTGTAGCCACAGCTGCCCTGGGGCACACTGACAGAAGCGAGGCCAGTATGTGCCATCGGTCCCTCCAGCCACCACCAACCATTCACACACACACCAGACTTATTCTAGGCAATGTGAGTGAAGTGTCTTGCCTAAGGACACAACGTCAGTTTGACACTTTACAGCCGCAGCCGCCCCACTGTAGAACTTGGTGTTCCCAGAGGTTTCCCATCACAATACTAACTAATTAGTACTAATTAACTAATTGTCTTATTCATTGAGTAAGTGGCATATTGGGTTGTTTTGCCAGCTATACTGTATTGTATGTGTTCTTTGGCTGCAACTAATTTACTTTAATTAGTTACAACTTACTTTAGTTTATGTAAGTTTAAATTACATGAACTTGTACATTGTCACACCACGACTTCTTATGTAGATGAATTGAAAGCATAGCAGCGTTTGAACCAGAGCAGTGCCCATGCGGAGTCTGCGTTACATAAATAAGTTTGAGCTGGGGCTGAGCGAGAGGCTGAGCAGTCTTCCCCCAGGGCTGTGGAGAGGAGCGACAGGCGCTGGTAATGCAAAAATAATCTGCTAATCTTCACTGTAATTAATCAGCTGGAAGAAGGTCTTTACTGCTCGCCTCGAAGCCCCCGTCCCCCCGGTTACCCCCCCTCGAGTGCGGGATCAGGGCATTAGAGCGGCAACAAGACACTGCACCTGCTTTACCTGTCATGTCTATATTATTTCACTTTTTATTCAACATTGTGGCTTCATGCTAATTCATTAAAAATATCTGAAAGACCTACAAACTGGTGCGATCAACCTCTTAATTAATTTGACCGAGCTTGAGTCGTTTTGTTAAGATGTCTAGAATCTTCCGGTCTCTAGATGTGTTTACATATTAACATATTTTGTGACATATATGTTTTTGCTTTCACTTCACAGTTGTCTGTTACTATGTTTGGGTCTTAAAATTATTATTAAAATTAATAATATAAATGTGATGTCTGCAACTTAAATTGTATTTCCTTTTGAAAATATTGTGCAAATCGGACTTTGTATGTGCAAACAGAGGGCATTTACTTTGCACAATAGCGCCCCCTACAAATTCAAATTGTCAGTGTTATACCAAACATTGAAATAATACAATTTATACCAAAAAAAATATTGTGGCAGAATTTGGTGAGTTTTTGTGTTTGTTTACTGGGTCAAATATGAGATGAAAAAGTCAGAAAACAAAATACCTTCACCCTCTCAAATGGACTCAGCGCTTTTTTGAACAATCAAAGACGCTCTTTTGGACTTAGTCCAAAAGAGGCCTACACAAGACGTTGTGAGAGCTTCTGAGAAAGCCCATTTTTAGGCTTAATGTTTTGCGACTGCTAACAGGAGTAGCTCTCTGCCATTTGTGTAGTATAAATTAGCTCACCAATGGAAAAAGGTTGGCAAGCCCTGTTCTCCTTGTATCATAGTAACAACACCAGCGTATCCCACATGTGCTGCAGACCTGTGTGCTAGTTAGCATTGTCCAAACATCAAAGTCGCACAAAAGCTTGTCCTGGCGCACCGTAATACACCCATTTATTTTGTAAGAGTTGAAATGATGCTCCGGGACGCTGCGAGGAAGGCTCTCTGATTAGACTGATGCATGGAGCTTATGAGGCCTTGTTAGCACATCAAAGACCAGACAGCCGGGCCCCCACCACGGCCCAGGCCTTAATGAGAGTCTGCAGTGCAATTATGTGAGTGGCTCCTGCAGGCCACCTAATGTAAAGAAGGAATATTGGTATGTCTGGTTTTCATTCTCATATTGTACACACATGATTGTTCACACACAGGGTCACACATGGACACCTGCCTTGACATGAAATTTAAAAAATGAATGAAAATTGCTCAAATTTGGCTGCATGTATCCAAATTTGATCACATTTAGACTGTCTTAAAGTAGCAATATGGAATATTTGCATGTCAAGTTTGCATTTGCATGTGATCATTAAATAGCCCCAATATTTCAAAAGGCATCATTAAATCATGCTCTTTTCAAATACAAATATATTACCTTGGTTGCTAGACGTAGCAGACCCTGTTGCACCCTGAGGGCCTCAATCTTATATTTGTGAGTAAATTTGACACGTTACTTTTACTCACTAGTTCAGTAACGCTAGTTAGTCTATTGTTTAGACTAAAATAAATGCATTATTTTCTGTAGAATAAAACAATACCAGAATAAAAAAGTTAAACTAGCATTGGAGCTAACAACACTGCCAAAAAAACTTTTATAGAGAGGGACAAGAAACATCTTCTTATGAACACATTTATGGAATTAATATTTCTTACACATTCATTTACAACCAAAATGATAAAATATAGTTATATACCTGATTTTGAGCCACGTTGTTAATGTTGTTGCCCTCTGCCATGTTTAGTTTTGCGACTATGAAGATGATCAACTCTGCGCAGGCTCGATTGTTAATGTCTGTGAGCAGTGACGTAATATTGACAGTTTGCTCTTTGCTGAAATTCGTATTCTCAAAGAAGAAAATGCAAGCACACAAAAAAGTACAAAAACACATATACAGTTTTATTTATTTTTTATTCTTAAGTACGAAACTCCATGTCTTTTTAGTTTGTATTATTTTAATCATGAATTAATAAAATATTTGTATGCACAAATACCAATAAATATGCACGCATTTTTTTTAGACATGCACATCTTTATTGACAGTAACATGACCCCGTAATACGGACTTGTTTTATTGCATTTCCTCCACAGGAAAGAAATGTGATTCCCCAAGCATCAGTGTGCAGCCGGATGGAGGCAGGTGACCATGGTGCAGCCTCAACCAGCCACTCAGGGTCTGCAGGTGACCATGGTGCAGCATCAACTAGCCACTCAGGGTCTGCAGGTGACCATGGTGCAGCCTCAACCAGCCACTCAGGGTCTGCAGGTGACCATGGTGCAGCCTCAACCAGCCACTCAGGGTCTGCAGGTGACCATGGTGCAGCATCAACTAGCCACTCAGGGTCTGCAGGTGACCATGGTGCAGCATCAACTAGCCACTCAGGGTCTGCAGGTGACCATGGTGCAGCATCAACTAGCCACTCAGGGTCTGCAGGTGACCATGGTGCAGCATCAACTAGCCACTCAGGGTCTGCAGGTGACCATGGTGCACAATCAACTAGCCACTCAGGGTCTGCAGGTGACCATGGTGCAGCCTCAGCCAGCCACTCAGGGTCTGCAGGTGACCATGGTGCAGCATCAACTAGCCACTCAGGGTCTGCAGGTGACCATGGTGCAGCATCAACTAGCCACTCAGGGTCTGCAGGTGACCATGGTGCAGCATCAACTAGCCACTCAGGGTCTGCAGGTGACCATGGTGCAGCCTCCACCAGCCAACCAACACTGGTATTGGAACGATAACATAGGCTTGTAAAGAATTTGAAAATGTTTTATGTGTACATGCTCGTTTTGACTAATAAAAGACACAGTCTGGAAGTGACACGAATGCTGCAGTGACTATTTTGTCTGAGACTCTCCCTTTATCTCACAGATTTGTTGTCCATATCTTTATGTGTCGGATGGAGGAAGAAGTTCTCTCTCTCTCATTTTAAGACATTGAACCCAGCCCTGCAATCACTGCAGGGGAGTATTCCAGCAGTTCCTCCCAAGTGAGATCTCAATAACCAGATACAATTTTTGAAAAAGGAACATTCAAGATGCCGTTATCTGGAAGTTACAGGCAAGTGTGGTGTGAGATAGTAATGGATTACCTATCATTAATTCCATTACAAGTCGTTGTAACTTGGATTTATGTTTAACCCCAAAGTTCATTCCAATAACATGTCCATGCAAATATTTTAACACACATTACTGCATCATTTCCACTGATAGAAGTGGTTGATATTGAAGTGAAGGACAATTCATTAAGAGATTTTCCTCAATCTGTGACATTATGCAAACCTTTGTCCATCTTCCTGTCGGTTTTTCAGTCCTGCAGAATTGAATCCTACACCATCTCAGGCAGAGGGAGGCAACAGGAGGCAAGCGTGACGGCTCCATGAGCAGGAAGATGAGCTCCGGGCTACTACAGCGTGGTGGTGATCTCTCCATGATCACAGTAGAGGAGGTGGAGTCATCAGTCTCCTTGCCTTCTTGAGCGAAGGAGCGGCTCCCTGCCACTTTTATCCTGGATTGCTGTCTAGCACGTGCGGCTGGGGACCACCTTGTCTGATACCGTGGTCAGCCATGTAGGAGCCCCCAGGGCACTGTCCCGTCTCCGTTCCTGTTCACTCTGTACACCTCTGATTTCCAGTACAACACCGGGTCCTGCCACCTGCAGAAGGAGCTGGAGTACAGGACACTGATTTCAGACTTTATTGAAGCTAACCATCTGCTCCTGAATGTGGACAAGACCAAAGAGCTGGTTATTGACTTCATGAGGAAGAGGACGCCAGTGGAGCCCATCACCATCCAGGGCAAAGAGGTGGTGATAGTGGACTGCTACAAATACCTGGGAGTTCACGTGAACAGCAGACTGGACTGGAAGGAGAACTCCAATGCTGTGTACAAGACGGGCATGAGCAGATTCTATTTTCTGAGGAAGCTCAGGTCTTTGCACGTGTGCAGTAAAGAGAGCTTCTACCGGTCTGTGGTGGCCATCGCCCTTTTCTACGATGTGGTCTGCAGGAGGAGCAGCACCACCAAAAGGGACCTCTACCGGATTGACAAACTGATCCGTAAAGCTGAACAGGTTATTGGCTGTCAGCTGGAGACATTTACAACAGTGAGAGACAGAAGGTCACTGGAAAAACTGCTCTCCATCATTGACAATCCCACACATCCACTCCACTGGATTATAGAGGGGCAAAGATGTCAAGTTTATCTACTTTGTTTTTATAAATTTACAGATATGTGTATTATCCTGTTATCCACTATTTTAAAGTGTAAATGTGTACATATTCACAGATATGTTTATTATTATGAGTACCTGTAGCCATATTATTCTATTCTCACAATAGTATCTTATCTTATTATTATTATTATTTTCAGGTTGTTTACTTTGTCATTTTCATTGTTATTTTTTGTGGAATACTGTGTAAGCTACTGTGACAATGCAATTTCCCTTGTGGATCAATAAACTCTGTCTAAGTCTTTTTTGGAGTTGAAACATTTTAAACTCTCTAAGGAGAGTTTAGGAGGCCCCAAAACAGATTGCATGATAAACAACATTTAACAAACTTGTATACAGTAGTAAAGGTGTACAACAGGTGTACAAACAGACATGACTGATGAATAGTGTCTTGTCCACTCTTGGCAGAATGGTCATGAAGTATTGGGTGGAAGTTGGTTTGAGTCTGTATCTTTACAAAAACACAATACAATACAATTTACTCTTGTATAGCCTTAAATCACAACAGAAGTAATCTCAGAGGACTTAATCTTGATACATTAAAATACAGATGTCCTAATTGTGCTATTGTCAGCAAATGTCACCAAATTTAGTATCACCAGACCACAGTAACGTTAACAGTACAGTACATACAAGAAATTATAACATTAGCGCCAGACAGGGTGCCATCGCTAATGTTAGCTCTAACCTAAACCAATGCCCATTTTTCAAAGCTAATGAAATTTTAAAGGGGCGACAGTAGCTCAGTTGGTAGAGCATTGGCCTTAAGGCCAGAAGGTCGTGGGTTCAATTCCCACCTCTGCACCTTCTCCACCGACTCCCACTGATGACTGCTGTCGTTGTGTCCTTGGGCAAGACACTTAACCCCACTTTGCCCAAAGCCCCCACTGAAAGATCAAGGCTATGCTCACACTCAGAGAGCAGCCGTCCTCCTGTGGACTCACCACCTGCAGAGGGTCAGTGAGGGGCTGGTGCTATGAGACTTGGGTGGCATCTCTGACTGCCACCCCCCTGACCCAGAAATGGATTAAAGGGTAGAAAATGGATGGATGGATGGATGAAATTTTATTTTCCCCTTTTTTATTTGCACCTTTACACTGTTTATGACGTTAAAACCAGTGGGGGTGGGTCCCGGCTCAAAAGTGGCCAAAATGACGTGCGCTGACCAAGCCTCGGTAATCCAAGATGGCGCCCTATACAAATGAATGGCCGCGCTCTGACCAATCAGAGCTGCTCATCAGAGCAGTGGAAAAGCGGAGCCAGAGCGGGAAGGCAAGGACAAATTGCATTTTGTCTCATGAGTCTCTCCAGATTGAAATACTCTCGTCACATATTTACGCCAACAACACATTTTCTCCAAGTTGACATGAAGTTAACACAAAAAAAGCACAGACGCTTGTTTACTGTCTATGGACCACACGCTGTACTTGGAGAGAGGCTGATTCGCTGGTTCAGTTTCTCCCTGCTGTCAATCACCTCTTGGAGGCGGGCTTTTGACGTCACGGATTGTGCCACGTCACAATTTGAATCAGCTTATTTTTGTGCCTCTCGAGAATGAAAGAGAAAGATCGCCGCGCTCTAACTAAAGCTTTATTGAATCAATGAAAAAACTACTCTGGGCATGTATATGAAGGCCAACAAGCACTGTAATCATGTTTAAACCAAAGAAAAGTCAAAAAGCGTATTATGGGACCTTTAAATGATGCAGTCATGAGTCAATGAAATACAGAAGATAACAATACAATTCATTTTGTAATTGTAGATGTTATTGTGTAAATATAAAAACTCAACAAAACACCAACCTTCCCAATCATTAGGTAATATCCTGAGCAAACATTCTCATTACCATCATGTTACGTTCTTTCCCCCACGCTTTTCATGATCTTCATTGCTTTCGATACATTTAAAGATGCTTTGGAGATGCATTATCTGCTTAGTTTTTGTCACCATTATAATCGATTGTACACAAATCATGAAAACTGCCAAAAGGTTGAGCTTTCCATGCACACACTTTACTCAAGTGAAAAGGTAATGGGACCTGTTCAGAAATACATTATAAATTGGATTAATAAAAAGATGTTCTGAATAATGGTTTTATATTAGAGCACCCTTGTCCATGAGTCCAGTTTTACAATTTTAATCCATCAAAACATGTTATTCAGTGTGCATGTAGTAAAACCTTTTTCACATATTACATTGAAAATGTACTTAAATGTGTTATTTGCTTGTTAAAGATAATTAAAAAAATGATGTTTTATTAAAAATATCTGTCCCTGAGGTTCACCGTAACTTCCATCACACAGCACAAACTGTACATTTGTTAGTTTGTCTCTACTGCTTCAAAGACCCCCCGAAACGCCATCTGAAAACTGACAATATCAACGCTGACCCCTGGGAGTAGCTGGCTGGTGATGTCAACAATGACGCACATCAACAAAGCAGTAGCCGCAGAGCTGAGCGGGCTCAACCCAATTAAAAACTTCAATCACCATCCTTCTCGCCTTACCTCTCCCAGATGTGGCAGAGCCTGTTGCTGCCGCATTGGCCTCCATTCTCACATGGGTCATTGCCGATAGTCTTGCTCGATACTGAGTACGGTAACCACCATTATCATTATCAACACCATGTAATGAATAAAACCTAAGGCTATAATCTGGTGTGTTTACTACACTGCTGTTGATACACACTGTCCCATTCACATCCACATGAACCTCTAACATGGTATAATAATGTAAACAACGTGGCTCCAAAACATAGTGTAGCGTTCATTACGTTGATTTTATGACATAGTCTACAAGGTTTGGTTCGCAGTGAACCATGAATACAGATGACACTTGGGATCAGCTTATTTGGCATGTTATCTGACTCCATTCAAATACATGAAATATAAAAAAAAGTTAAAGATCAGAAGCACAATCAACTCATGTTTGTTCTTCAACTTTGTTTTAGCCTAAGCCTGAGTGTTTTGACGAAGATTCTTTTCATTCATGGCCATTATGACGAGTGCTATAAAACTCAACTATAGCTGCGATTGTAGTACCACTTCTTCTCATAATGCAGACATTTAGATTTGCTCTCTTTATTTAGGGTTCCTGGAGCATTGCAGAGACTACTTCACTAAACAGGAAGAATAACTGTTTAAAAAGTGCATTTGCTCAAATGGTTCATGTAGAGAACATGAACAGCTGTCAAAGCAAAACACGTCCGATAACCTCTAATCAGACACAAGGGGTCGAGCTTGGGTCATGTGAAGAAACTAGCACTTAAAATCAACTGGAAATGTACAATTACAACTAATGACTACATTCTCTCCAATCTTGGACATATTGTTCAAACACTTATTATTCAAAACTAACAGGAACAAACAAATACTTTCCATTATTCGGCATTGCATCTTATAGATGCAGAATTTGAGATAATAATATCTTAAGTGGACAACATAGTCACACATGTGGTGTGTGGACTTGTACATTTGCCCCCATGCCCCAACTGTCTAAGTGCTCTTTTTCAAACTTTGTACAGTGTGATGTATGCTCTGTGAAAGTGTGATTTGATGCTGCAATATTTTATTGATGACAACAAAACAACAAAGCGGGCAGCTACATGACTACTTTTCATTACAGACTTGCTGCTGCTGCGGTTCTCCTCCTTGTTTCTGGATTGGTTGGCGCCCGGGCGTCAAGCTCGAAATGCTCAGCTTTTCTCAAATTTGGCGTCAAGGAATTTTGACGCATTGACGCGAGCGTTACGCGTGCGAAATGATGCGCATAACGCTTGCGTCAACGCTTCAAAGTGACGCTTTTAACGCCCGCCAAGTGATGCCTGGCCTCTCAGCTCCACCTGACAGGCCCGTCGGAAGGGCTGTGCGACCTGTGCCGTCGCACAGGGCCTCGCACCACACAGGGGCCTCGCAATCTTATTTCCTTTTTTTAATTTTTTTTTATAAATACACTAGTTCAAGGGTCCCCAAAGGGCGGACTGCACTCCAAGTTTGGACCCCTAAACCCCTTTCTCTGGACCTCTGTGATTTCGTTAGATCAAAAGAAAATTTTTACAAGTAAAGTCAAATTTTCACAAAAAAAGCGATTTGTAAACAGGCAGGCGCGCGGGCAGCTATGTACGCAGCGGGTCCTCCGAAAAAAACTCGCGGAGGAGGAGCAGCGAGACAGGTGTGAGCAGAGGAGGAGGAGAAGGAGGATCAGCGGTGTGACAGGTGTGTGAGCGCTGCTATTGCCAATGTTTAGTCCAAATATCCACATCAAAAACATATTTTTAAAAGCATTAGCAAACACACTGTATGTCTAGCTTTAGCCCCCACTGCGAGTGGAGTGGATTTTGGGCTTAAAACGCCTTGTTATGGTCAGAGTGTGTGGAGGAGGAGGTGAAGAGGATTTTGTCAGAGTGTGTGGAGGCATGGCAAAAACGTTATTTGATGAGGATTTTTTTTTGTGCCATTTTGGCGCATTTCTAATTGGCGTAAATCTAACTATTAGAAGAAAAAGACTCCTTTTGGTTCAATCTTTTGAGTTCCTCTGCCATTTTGCCACAGGAAGAAAGAGACATGTCAGCTAAAAAGACCGCGACTAATATTGCAATGCCAAGCGCCACAGTGTGTGTGTGTGTGTGCGTGTGAGCGCGCCCAACGCTGCATTGGAGCGAAGACACTCGGCTGTGCGCGTGCTGATCTCCTCACGCACCGCACGAGGCGGTGCTAAATTCATGTCATTATAACAGGAAAAACTTTCCTCAGATCTGGGAAAAAAGTGTCAAGGCAGGGCCTCGCGTTTCGTGTTCGCACAGGGCCTTGCACCCCCCTTGCGACGGGCCTGCCACCTGACACGCGCCACTATTCATTCTCACACCCACAAAGTCAAAGTTGAGTGCTGTGTGAACACAGCTTTAGGGCTCCATTTGACTAAAAGTAATATTAGGCAAATGTAACAGTAATACGCCGCAAGGCCCCAATGCATTACATCATTAACAGCTGCTGCCTCAGCTGTTTATGATGTAATGCAAACCTGCGCATGTGCGTCTCACGGCAGCCGAAGCAAACCAAGATGGCGGACAAAAAGTCTGTGAATTGTATGAAAAGTTTAAATACGTCCAAACAAAGACATGGATGTCACTTTTAATACAATTTGAGGCGAGATGTTGATGGTTCCATGTTGTGATATGTGGGTTTTAAAAGTAAAAGTTTTGTGTAAAGTTTGTTTTAAGTTGTCACCTGCTCCTGTGCAATAGCAGTCCCTTTCATGTCGAGTTGACGTAGGTCGATGATGCGTCCTGTTGCTAGCTCGACATCGGATAGCTTAAAACAGGTCTGTTGTAATAAACAAAATCAAAGTTTTCCTGGTCTGCGTTTGCCACTTCTCTTTGTCCAAGGGAGCATCGGGCTGAAACATGTGGCAAAAGATTCAAGACTTCTTGTAACTCGCTTTGCTCTTCATCTGTTGATACTCACCGGGTATTTTCGCTAGTTTCTCGTCCGCTGTGGAATGGCTGTCCATTTTGAATGAGCCAGTTCCCGCTGTGACGTCAAACTTCCAGGTTTGAAGTCGAGACAACGCAAATGTATTAAAAACCATATTTTTCAATGAAATAAAGGGTCATTTTGCCAGAACTATTTCAGAGTGCGGTGCAAAGAGCTGACTTGTGTGGTGGTTGAGAGCACGATGGCAAGAGCTCTGGTGTGTGCTGTCTTCTCTGTCTGGAGCACACTGGGGTTGCACAGTTTTTCCATGACTTTGGAAGGCAAACTGAATGAAATTGTGACTCATGGTTGAACTCTCTGACCCCACATGGAAAGGCCCTGTGTACAGAGGGTACCATTAATTTGTCTCAATTGGCTCTATAGTCATTTTGCCTGTGTTTGATGAATTTTCCCATTTGGCAAATGTGTGTGACTCCTGTGACTGTGGCTCCTCTCCTAATCTTCCACATTACACTGGCCAAGGCCGAAGCCAATAACAGGCCTCTTCTTCAAAACAATCTCATAGACTTACAGTGCCCGGCACTGGAACCCCCCCAAGCCTTGGTGATCCAAGATGGTGTCCTTTTCTTGGGTTTCATTAACCGGGCCTGTAGGGGGCGAATGAGCAGAGATGGGACAACTCAGTTTTGCTCCCATTGAAAACCATGTACATTTTGTCTGCTTTGGAGTCAAAAGGCTCTCATCCTGTGCGGTGCACGGTTGTTGTAACAGTCTTAATCAAGAGGGGGACACTCAATTCTAAGGAAGTACTAAAAAATATTTCTCAAAAGAGTCTTGACATGACAGCCACTGATTCTAGCTTCAAAGATGAGTGAGCACAAAGAACACAAACTTGTAATCATGTTCCGTGACCTTGCTGCTTGTTGCATCTCTCATAAGTGCTTTCCAGGCAACAGTGACGTGTGAGCTAGGGAGAGCCAAAGTCTCGCTGAACCTCCTCTTGTTAGTTTTCATAATGCTCCTCCTACCAGCTCCTCAATAGAACAGGTCAGGAATTAAGAGAAAAACGAGGAAGGAGGTATTTTTTTCCGATTTAGATGCAATCTTAGTCTTGGAGTTACTGTATCATTCTATAAAGAACAGATGCTACTGGTCCCTGGTTCGATTCTTCCTGCAGGCCTATCTGTGTTTGAGTTTGCATGTTCTTCCCGTGTATCCCATGTACCTGCATAATGGGTAAGAGTATAATTGAGTGAGTGAACAGATGACTTTGGATGACCTTGGAATGCACCATATCAACAAATAACTATTTACTTGATGAGGAGAGAACCTTTTTTTTCAAATCAAGGTTTGATTTCAAAACAGTTTTTAACAAACCGACATGCTTCTATTCCTGAGGTCACAAAAATGTAGTTATAATCTCAAAACATAAACGTCTATCTTTCTCTCAGCTGTGGTTAGTTTAATTTCGTCTATCACTCGATCTACCAGGGGGATATTGACGACGACGCATCGATATTAGTATTTCATGTTTCTCGTGCAACAAATTACATTTCGCCCGTGCATTTCTCCACTTCTGAGAGAAGTTTGGAGTGACTTTTAAATTAGTTACAGGTAAACAGACACACGCAAACACAGACACGCACACACACTCACAAACACACACGCACACAGACACCCACACACTTCGCTCCCAAATTAAAACCGGTGCAGGATGAAGTCGCTTAATGGGAAAGTGCTACTTTTAATTAGTTCTACGCAATTCCTGTAATGTCAAGTCCCCGCGTGTGAGCGAAAGACAAATCCAGACTATCCAAGCAGCAAACGAAGAGCGCTCACTCTCTGAAGCTTTCCTGGTAATCATAAAAATAACATGTTTTTTTAATGTATTTGTTTACATTTGTAGTTTTTTGCTACTGTATGTGCATAACCACCATCAGTAAGAATATCTGGAGGAGAATAGTTAGACCAATGGTTTTAATTGTGATTCAAAAACATTTATAGACATTTATGGACATTGTTTATCTGCCCGTTATGGACCAATGGCTCTACGTGTTTTTTATCATTGCATTTCTTTGAACTGTTTGATTCTCTGATCTGTGTTGTAGATAACTATTGTTGTTATTTAGGGCTATACAAAAATACATTGAATTTAATTGAATTGATTCTATTCCATCCAATCTGGAAGCTGTCAGAAGTGAGCATGGGCGTGTCTAACTGGTGATTGTATTTGAAAAGAGATATTTACCAAAAGTTGGGGTACCTAACTTCACTTTACTTGATGAATATAGCGTGTTGTGGTCTATTATGGACATAGTTTCATTTACAGCTGTTCTAAAGCAGGGAATAATAAAGTACAGATGGCTTGTAATAGTTACTTTTAATTAATAACTTTAGCTTCAATCTAAAAAAAAAGACTGTGAATGTACTTGCTTGCTATTTACGCTATAGGCACATTTCTGCATGTATCTGGTTTGAAATAACATTGAATCCAAAACCAGTATTTGCCCCAAAACACACACACACACACACACACACACACACACACACACACACACACACACACACACACACACACACACACACACACACACACACACACACACACACACACACACACACACACACACACACACACACACACACACACACACACACACACACACACACCTTGGCCTGTCTTTGGCTCTACACATACAACCTCAGAGTCTGTACTGGGCTAACACCGGATTACCTTATAGTGAAAGGGGAATTTAAGACTCTAACATCTTCTCGCCACACGCCACGCAGCCAGAATCGGCCTCTATCTAAACCTGAACACTGGCAGATAAAACAGCCCAGTCCTCCTCTCATTCCCAGCCACCAAACAAGCTCTTTGAAGCTGTTGCGAGCTGCGAGGGAGCTCTAAGCTGGGAGCGAGCGGGAATATGAGATAAACATACAGGGGCCGCATTCAGGCACAGACAATGGAGCCTTGATCAGGACAATGATTGCGATCCTGTCATTGGCTGGCCCGCTCGCCCCACTTCCTATCATTTTAATTAATTGTGTGATATTTGTAGAGTCGGAGCTCTATAGGGGCCTAATGAGAAGGAGCATCAAAAGACACGCGGCTGAGGCAACCCACCAGCGCGCCAGCTGCTCGGAGGTGCGCGGCTACAACCCCCCATTATCCAGCGACCTCCGTGCACGGGCCAGACTGGTGCGGGCGAAAGCGGTCAGCGGGATGTTGTTTTATGTCAGACGTGAGGGCAGCGAATGATCGGAGGCTGGTTTCACTTGTAAGACTAATTATTGTGGATTTGTGCTGTATATTTTTTATTTTTACATTTTGACTGAAATTATAATGTGTAATTCTGTGTAGGGATGTTGTGTTCTTTAGTGACAGTCCATGGTCCAGGTACACGGAGATGGATTGAATTTCTAATGTAGAAAACACTTTTGACCAAACCTGCATGTGAAAGCCTGATCCCATCAAAGCTCTGATGCTAAGCAGGGCAGGATATGGTCAGTACTGTGATGGGAGACCTCTGGGAAGACCAGTGGCCACAGTGGGGTGGCTGTTTAGTGCCAAACTGTTGTTGTGTCTTTAGGCAAGACACTTAACCCACCTTGCCTATGAGTCTGGCGTGTGTCTGCCAAAAGCACTTACCGGTTGCATTGATTTTGCCAGCCATGGCTACAATAGTAGTTCATCATGTTTAACATGTTTGCACACTTTGTCTTTTTGCACCTGAGTGATACTATCTATGCCAAATGTGACATGAAAATGTCTCCATTGTAAGATCAATAAAGTTTATCTTATCTTATCATGTATGGGGTGAATGAATAATGACATCTACAGCGTCTTTGAGTGTCCAAAAAATTGCCTTATTTATATTATTAAAATATAAAAATCTACGCTACAAGATCAACCCATTTCCAAGATGGCGTCCGTTTGCCAGCTCCTCCTTCTCACACAAAATAAAACTTTTAATTCACATTCTTGGCACCCAAAAGTAGGTGCATTTCCCTGTTACGTCCTGATAGCCATCTCCTTGACTTTAATCAGCCATCCATCAAAGTGACACAGGGGGAAGAATAGCGGTGTGGCTAATTACGCGCGCGGTCCTGTCTGCGCCGCACTGCTCGATCATGGAGTAAATAAAGCCAGTCAAGAATGTAATTGTTTGTTTTGTGAGCGCGATGGGCGAAAAAAAGAGCTCTTTTTTTGTCCGCGAGCTGTGAGCTGTGCCCTTTAGTGCGGGCGCCTGGGTCACGTGCGCACTGCAAATGAGGCGGGCGCCGCGCCAATGTCCCGCTTCAGTACGGCTCGGTTTGAGATGGTTTACCTCCTGATTTGTTCTCCTATATGTTCACGCATGCAGCCGGAATGGGGGATTATCCACCTGCAATATGGAATAGTGTAGTTACAGAATGTATGGAGGGGAATAGAGGGTAGACCTTTAGTGATTTCAGAAGGACAAAGCACACTGCAAAAAGTGATGAAATATGAGGAAATATTCGAATAGATTTGATCTTAATTTGAGTACATTCTGACTGAATTTTTTTCATTCCATGGGAGACACTTGTTGTATCTTTTAGAACAAGATCATTTTGCTTGTTCTACAAAATCTTGTTTTAAGGCAGTCAAAATGTACAAAATTTTAGATACATTTAGCAATGTTTTACTTATTTTTCATCCCTTTCTGCAGTTCATTGCGTATGTTGTTCTATAGGTGTGTCGGTGTAGCCTGACTCGCCAGACCCATGTAGTTTGCTGGTTCAGCCAAACGCCTCCGGTGGAGCATGGCGGAACTACAAGGGTCTGGCAGAGCCAGGCTAGTGTCGGCGTAGAATAAAGAGAAAGAGAATATATGGAAATAATGAAACATATATAAAATCATACGTTTTGAAGAAGAAATTAAACTTTTGACCCTTCAAAAATAATAATGAAATAGCTTTCATGTGTTAAAATCTGAAATAGTAATTTAAGTAGAACATTCATGCAAGTCTGAGGGATTTCGGTCTTCATCAGAGATGAATTTATGGGCAATATTTTTTTTTTAAAAGGCCGAAAACTGTTCTGAGCATAATGGTTCATTGATGTCACACAGACCTAATGGAAATTAAACTGGGAAACGCGGCTGTGTGTGAGTCTCAGAGGTGGCATGAAGGTTCAGACAGAATAGGCAAAGCTACATATGGGTTATTTGTTGGTATTTGTTATAAGTTGATACTTTATGAGAAAACCCTGTTAAAACATGGAGAAAAACGTCAATAAAAATATGTCTTAGTATTTGTAAAACTATTTATTATTTCTTTGAGGCATTCCATTTTCTTATTAAGTCTATTGCTATTTTATTGTTGTATTTATTGTTAGTTATTCTACATGGTCCTTACTTCAAAAGCTTGCTCAAGTTTGCTTATGTGTGTGTGGTTTCCAGATAAAAAGCCTTGATTTTCCATTGATGGTCGACAGCTGAAGCGCCCAATCACTGGACGGTCCTATGTCTTTTTCTCCAAATGTCGGGGATGTCAATGTTTTACAACTGCTGAGCTCCAACACAAACTTATGTCTGTTGACTGACCAGGACTTTAAAGCCATAAAGGTGAAGTATGGATTCTTTAATTATTTCTTTTATTTTCTTTATATACATTTTTCACGGGCGATGTAGTCATACATGTTCCTGGTTGAGCTTTTCCCTACAGTGCAACACGTTGTACAGAATGAATGAAATAGACAGCCCTGCAACACATTTCTCCAACAGTGAACAAAAATGAAGACATTCCCACCAATGAAAAGACACGCAGACAGCACACAATCAGAGTCACAAAAACACACACGCACACAATAAAATAGATTATTTACAGATTCAGAAATGGGTCTTTGTTTCGTTTTAAGCCACACCTCAATAGATTCAAACCTATTCCAGCTCATCTCTTTAAAGACATCCCTAAACCCGGCTTGCTCCATCAGTATCTATGAACTGCCGTGTGGCCTTGGTCCTCATTCTACCGCCTTATATGAATGGGAGCAGTCAAAATGACGGCTCTGGTAGTTCCAGTAGTTTCACAATTGTGGGAGTGCTAAATGTTATAAGGACTTTTAAAAAGATTATTAAAATCACTTCAACAAACTGTGTTTTTGTTTTGAACATATCACTTTTGTCAATAAGAAACTAAACTAAAGAAACTGTAGAAACTAAATCCAGTTTCATGGTATTAATTATTGTCAATAATTATAATGCATGACTTTTAAATAACGTTTTTTGGACTCTCAAAATCGCTTCACATGTCATTATACTTTCAGTCCATACACGTGCAGCCACAGCTGCCCAGACACAGCAGATTTATTCTATGCAATGTGGGTGAAGTGTCTTGCCTAAGAACACAATGACGAGTTTGTCTGTGGCACCAGGTCTTCTCAGAGGTCTCCCTTGTAATAACCACCTTGCCCTGCTTAGCTCCAGAGGTATGACAGGATCTGCTTTCGCACACTTGTATGGCCATGAGCTGCAGTAGAAAGTAAACCCAAGCATTTTTTTTATCATTGCATTTCTTGTATTGAACAGTTTGATTCTCTGAGCCAGTTTTGTAAAGTCCTCTGGCAAGTCCTCTGGGATAACTACTGTTGTGATTTAGGTCCATACAAAAATAAATTGAACTGAATTGAATTAAAGTCACATGGTTCTGCCACAAATGCCACATACAGTCGGCGAGATGTAATTACATACACATGGCGCTAATGGCTTTTCAATAGGGCGTGCGGCAAACGCAACGGATCGGATGCGAAGGCGGCTAAAGTTCAGAGCGTGTGTGAATGATGGCGTCGTATCAGTAGCGAGGCGCAGTGCCATACACCTCCTGGTAAATCACAACGTGTGTGTGTGGCGGGCGACCGATTCAATTAGAGCACTGAAGTGTGAGATAAACAAAGCCAAATCGGAGACGTGTGCGGCTCTATGAAACGACCGAGCACGAAAATGTCAACTTCTATGCAACTTCAGATTGTGACCGTTGAGGCGAACGCACAACTGAACTATCTGCGCTTAAAATGAATGATTAATTACAATCTCATCTCAGTTTTAAGCAGGTTTCTTATTAAGAATTACAATAGATGGTTACATATAAAACCCATGATGGACAAGTTTGGATTAATGTATTGTTTGTTTTGTGGTTTGGTTTTAGTTTGACTTCCTGTCCTGTTTCACCTGTCTTGATTGTCTGCCCCGCCCTGATGTGTTTCACCTGTGTCTCTCTGTCAGTATCATGGATCTATAATAATAACTGGATAGGGTATTACTAGCTTATAGCTGTCCCACCCTTGGGCACAGGGGGCGCCCGTGATACTGCAGACTAAATTCACGTGGGCTACCCAGAAAAAAGTCCCATAGAACTCAATGTAAATTAAGCCTACAGCTTTCATAAAGATCGGATTTTGTGGGGATTTTAGTGTCCCTTGTCATCCTGAACTTTTTTTCTTCTTAAATCCTTCGGTTTTCTTTAAGTCCACACTTTACTGCCACAAACTCTGCTCCCTGCCTTCCCGCTCTGGCTCCACTCTGCTGCTGCTCTGATCAGCAGCTCTGATTGGTCAGAGCACGGCCGAGCCCCTCTGTGCCCGTGCATGAAAGCCACACACGTGCATTTAGCGCAACGCATCATGTGAGCTCGTTCTCTGCGCAGAACCGGGAGGACCAGACGAAGCCCAAATAAAGGCGAGTTCCGCTAATCTTTCGGTCCCTGTGAAGTCCCATGTGCTACTGAGCACAAGCCATTCATTTGAATTGTCCAAAAGGCTCTCAGTGACAAGAACTTTACCGGAAGAATTTTAATTGTGCTACACAACAGCATAGGATTCAATAAATCACCAGGTACAAAGTCAAATATATAGCGTGTAAGTAAATAAATCTCTGTTGTTAACAGTTATTCTCATTGTTTCTAAACTTTGCACAAAATATTCTCAAACAGTGTCCGATGGTCTGGTCTTAGATTTGACATGGCCTGATGACAAAAGCAAATTAATGTAATATTAATTTAAAAAACATCATAAACTAAATGTCTTATGTTTTATGTTATTTATTTTATGATGGGCTCCGCCTCAGTCCTACTTTTCCCCCACTGGATTATTAGAGTCTTTCCTTGCAGATGCAGGAGGGTCAAAGACAGTGGTGATGATTCAGGACACTCGACATTCAACAACATTTATTGACAGTAATGAACATTTTAAATTGGTCATCTGCCCCTTATGGACCACTGGTTCTATGTGTGTTGTTATTCTTTTCTCTCTTTTTGTTTTTGTTTAAATCATTGCATTTCCTGTGTTTGAACTTTTTGATTCGTGATTGATTTGTGTTGGCGCATTGACAGCTTTGTGAAGTCCTCCAAGATAACTACTGTTGAGATTTTTGGACTTATTTATGATCATAAATTGGATAAAAATCCCTATTTTACAATATCGTACCGTGATATTACTCTCAAAAATATATTGCATTGTGAGACTTGGATATGGCTCCATCCCTCACCTGTGAAACTTCCCACAGTAACCGCAACCTTCCCTCAGCACTTATCGTCTCCTCGCCTCGCCGTACGTTCTAAATTGTTTACCTATAACGCGTCTCAATCATCTGCACATGCACCAAACACTTTTAATTATACCTCGCCGTGCTGCAGTGCTCTGAAAGGATAGCCCCTGCATTTCTCTCCTGGTATCTTCCCCTTTCTCAACCAGGCAAGAAATTGAAATCGTCTGAGAGAATGAAGCGGCCGTAATTACCCAGAGTGCAGTTGGAAGCGATGGGAGCTGACTTTATGGACAGTTAAGAATACCTGCGCTCCTGTCGCTGTCCGCTGGTCATAGCCACGATGGAAGAAGCCTAATAGCAAATACTTAAAGAGAGCGCGTCGGCGGGGGCCAGGTTTATGGACCGTACGCTGGCTGTTCTAACAAGGCTTTTGAAGGAAGGATGTGGCGCTCGGTCCTGCTTCGGTTGAATGTACTGGAGGTTTTTTATCACTGTGGGTTGTTACATGAAAGAAGATTGTGTTTATTATCCTTTGTTTCTCATGCTGTTGCTCATTTCTCTCTTCAAAATCAGATGTATTGATTATTTTGCGTTCAGTTTCCTATGTGTAGTGAATGTGATATTAAACCGATGGTGTACAATAGAATAAGCTCAAATAAGCTTCTTCTGCCAATTCCTCTTTTGGTTGCAATTCGTAAGGTTTTAATATATGTTTGAACTGTAACTTTTATTGATGTGATGACCAAATTCAATCAGTCAATCAATGAACAATCGATGAAAGAAGTCATATACTACTATAAGAACATTGAACATTGTAAAGCGCTTTGGGTGACGTTGGTCTGCAAAATGCGCTGTATAAATAAACATTACTTACTAAAACTATAAGAAGTTAATTGATAAAT